GAGGGCAAGTGTTACATCAACAATTACATTAAAGAAACTTATAGATGTAGCATCTCAAGGTTTGGTAAGATTGCAGTAGCTTCACCATCAACAACAACAACTTCACTGTGGTTCTTGAAGCATTTTGTTGAGAATTTGACACTTCAAAAGTGAAATGGAGATCGAGTTATCATATAGAGAATAACAAAAATACTAACTCTTTTTTTTATATTGGTGTGTTTAACTTACATGTACTTATCCTTGGTTTCTCTTAAAGCCGTGGCTTGAACCAATCCGAGAATTTCATTGCCTATGTAAACTGGTGATCGAAAATGTAGACTTTGAGATACATACACTGCTCCCGGCTGCAATAAGACCAAAAAGATTTGACCATGTTTCTATCAATCAGTAGAATCAGACGTAGGAATTGGTAGAAGATAAATGAATGCAAACTAAAACTAGAGAACTTACGAAATGGGAAGAGATAAGACGGGGAAACATAGAAGACACAAGCATCCCGTGAACAAGGCGGTTCTCGAATCCGGCTTTACGGGCAGATTCTGGATCGAAATGAAGTGGGTTCCAATCATGGCTCACCTCAGCATATGCCTTAACATCTTCACTTGAGAACACTCTTGTTTCTCTTAAAACATCTCCAACTTTGAGTGTTTTAGAAGTTTCTGATGAGAAAAACCTCGAGACAAGCAGGCGTGTCGGGAGAAATTTCTTGGCCAACATTGCTTCACCTGAACACCCAAACAAACATAAAAAACCTTGAGATAGTATTATTCCCGTTCTTTAGTTGCACTTGCTCTCATTGAGACATTTCGTCGAACAGGTTATAGGCACGCAATTGAGATACAAAAGATACAGTTTGAGCAAACAAATTTCCAATTCGCTAACAATATAGGAACAGATGCTCAATCTTATTATCAGAATTGACGGAAATAACGATGAAACTAATAATCCAACCTCGTCAAATAAGAGAAGACACAGACTTTTCTTCTTCAAGTATAATCGTATCGTACCTTCTTATTTCGAAGTTTCTTTGACTTTCGAGCTCCAGAAGTGATTAAATTAAGTCACTGATTATGAAACATTATTAAACCATGAAGACTGAGAATGATCCAGATTGTGTTTCTTGATTATGATTTATCAGCAAAAAACAGGTTTTCACATTTGTAACTTTGTAAAGATGAAAACTTTTTATTCTAATTGATAAAGCTGATGGGCAATAGCTGAGTTGTTCTTTACAATATCAGTACACAAATTGCAACAAAGATCGATTAAGGATCCATAAATTGAAACTACCAAACAAACTGAATCATATAAACCATTCAAGATGCATTGTCATCAGTTTCTCCAAAACGATGATTCTCACGGCCTCCATGTTCCAATCCAATTCGTCAAATTCTCGACATTGTTAGAGATATCTTCGATAGTGTTACTTTGTAGCGCGGTGACGATTTCCTCTTTGTAACTATCCCTTGCTTCTTCGAGTAGGACTTGAAAGATTTCGCATTCAATGTTGTTACTAAGCTTGGTTCCTGAATAACCCCTGCCATTAATTGAAAAGCCACAAAACCAGAACCAGTTAAAGCGAAACGAGAAATTAAACTACTTTCGATGACGAAAGCCGGATTTCGATTCTGACCTCTTAGTTAAACGGTCATACAAGACAGAGTTCTCAGTCTGAAGCACCACAACACGATCAAACCATCGCTCAGGAAAGAAGTCGCAACCATGGTAGTCCACTATGTTCCCCCCTCCTTCCATTATATCTTCAAGCTCATCACACACCTTGATCAAAGTTAAAATACAATAGCTAAGAAGCTAATGATTTGACTGTTCAATAACAACAAGTTTTCAAATTCATGTACAATAATATCCTTTGTAATTAACCAAACTCAAGCAAACCTCAAAATCGATTTTATCATCAATTACCACAAAAGCTAAGTAGTCTGGAATTCTAGCCATCAAATTACACAAAACAAGTGAGATTTTCAAAATAGAATTCGCTAATTATCTGATTAAAGAGTATAGCTCCCAACTTGAAACTCTAAAACTAGTCGGTCACAAAATTGATCTGATAAACGTTAAAATCAAGAGAAATTGAGGGTCGAATTTAGGGATTTGATTCGAGTAACGAAACTCACCAGGTCTTCGTTGATGACGTGACACTCGAACTTGTTGTCCCAGCCATCGTGCAAGTTCTTCTCCTTGACCAGATCTCCGACGCAAATATGACGGAAATTCGTGGCTTCGGCCAGAGCAGAAGCCGTCGTTGATTTACCGGTACCAGGAGTCCCCGTAATCAGTAGATTTGGCCTTTGACGCCTTGTCCCAGTGCTAGGTTCGGCCATTATTCTTCGCCGGCGTAAGATTGCAAGTGAAAGGGACGCGTAGAGATAACAAGCGGTAGGGTTTTACTAAAGCAAAAGGATCAAGACCGTCAATTTTTTTTTTTTCACTATTGGGCCTACGGGGTGAATTATTGGGCCAATTAATAATTCTTTAAAGCCCGATTTAACACAAATCGTCGTCGTCATTTCATTGATCAGGGAGTGTAAATACTAAATACATTATACATGCATGATCAAAGGTG